CTTTTATTTGTTGCCTAAAGGTGTGGTATGAGCCATACCTTGTGTGGTATGAGCCAAACCTTGTGGCTTTGAGGTATGTACTTGGAAATTATAATTTTCTCAAACAAACACAAAGTATGGGTTTTATATATATTTCGTACCTAAATTACTTGAACCAAACACTCCCTAATCCTTGAGGAATAGCTCTGCAGTGAGATAGCTTAGTGGGTTAAAAGCAATAGAGGCTCCCAGTTTCTCACGGAGTCGCTGGTTCTTCGCATGTACAAAGTAAAAGTGCGACAGTTTTCAATGGGCAATTCTCCTACTTTGAATTGTAATGATTTGAATCTAATGTCTCGCCAGTGCATTGTTTTTTGATCTTAGAACGAGATGAAAAAGCCACATTACAATAATGCAATGCAAGGGTTATGGCTAAAGTACCTTTGGTACTACATAAATATGAGTAAAACTGCTTGGGTCCATCCCTATTATACCAGGACCAAGGCAGGGATCCTGTGTGACGATCAGAGGAACCAGGGTGATGGTGTGGCACTGTAGTTTGGTATTATGGTATGAAGAAGTTTTTTCATATCGAAACTGAAATCACTGGTGTGTTTTGCATTGAAAACACTTGCGTGTTTTATATAAATCACTTGCGTGTTTTATATAAATCACTGACAATGATATGAAATAAATGAGGCAGATCTTGCTGGCCGTACCCCCCCCCCCCCCCTATATAATGTTTTGACTGATGTATCTTTTTCTGCTCAGTTTATGTTGAATAACTCTTTGATCTCTTTTGATTAGGGAATAACTGTTGCTGTTATCATTGTTATGGAACTTGATGTAGTATCTGTTTTGTTATCTTAATTATCGAAATTGTGTGTTTTCCCTCTGTATTTGATGACTTTGTGATCCTGAAACTATACTACTCTATAATTTCTGTCCCTGATGTTTACAGGTCAGACCACTCAAATGTTTTCAAAGAAATGAATCCAGCCTTGGCAGTTCATCTTATGCTATGTGACTGCCCTGTATTACTTTCGACTAATTCAGTAACAGTCAGGTTCTAGAACATTATTGCCCATCAATTGAAAATTGAAATTAAATAGTTGAAAGTGCAGAAGCCATTTAACAGGTTTTATCTGAAGCCCATGCTTAAGAAACAGTCAGCTGGATCAAAACCAATCCTATTATTGCTAATTGTTGGAACTTCCACTGTAACAGTAACTCCGTCTGCCCTCATATTCTGTAAATCATGATTTATAGTTTGATCCTATTGAATATATTTGACATTATTGCTGAAGGGCAGTACAGGAGAATTTTTACACAACCATTTGTATCTACATGTGTAGAATGAATGTTTAGTCTTGCTACTAAAAGTTACTCGATTTTTTGAGGTTGACCTGACCCTCTTCCTGTTTACAGTGTAAAATTTCTCTTCCTTGGAGTTGATAGAAGACCAATTGTGCTGTTATTTTACCTTGTGAATCTGTTTCCATTTGTTCTGTACCAGGTATATGCAGAACATTCTTTCGGCACCTCTTTGTGAAACGATGTCTAATCTTTCTATATCAATATCAATATCAATATTTATATCTATATCTATATCTATATCTATACTTAGTATTTAAAAACTCAAACCACAATCATTCATATACCACATGTCCTTAGAACTCATTCAATATGCCACATGTTACTTCTCTTACCTTTTTAATATTTTTTAAAAAAAACTAAATTAAAAATAGGTTAATTTTTAAATTACCACTCAAAAATGTAATTATTTTCGAACTAATTACCCGTTTAATTTTTTATTTTAAATTACCACCACTTAGATTAAATAAATGTTCACATTACCAACCATTTTAAAAATCCGGTAGATTTTCCATCTGTAAGCCCCACCTAACACTTATTTTGACGCATTTGACTGTTTTTTTCCCCAATTTTTCTCTTTAAAAACTCTCTCTAAACTTTAATTCACATTTCCTTCACCAAATTCTACCAAATTTCAAAGAGAAAAATGTGGTTATTTCAAATCACAACCTAAAAAAGCCATCTTCCATATCTTTGTTTTCTTTGATTCCAAAACGGAATGCATTTCGATCTTATCTATCAAATAAGATTGCGATGATAGTGTGGTTTCCTGTACCAACTATTTCTATATCCATGCATCCCATATTTTTGTTCCGACAATGGGATAGAGAATGCATGCGTGAAAGAAGCTCTCATTTTAAGTTTCCTAGTATTTTATTGTGAATATCATATGGAATTCAAATTAAGTAAAAAATCGAAAATTCTCTGTATCTTTCTTCGATCCGTGAAAATGAAACGATATATTCTGACATTTCCGATTGATGAAGTTAGGAGAACGTTTTTAAAGAGAAAAATCGGGAAAAAGGGGTCAAAATAAGCGTTAAATGGAGCCCACAGACGAAAAATCTACCGGATTTTTGAAATGGATGGTAATCTGAGCATTTATTTAATTTAAGGGGTGGTAATTTAAAATAAAAAATTAAACGGGGGGTTAGTTCGAAAATGATTACATTTTTGGGTGGTAATTTAAAAATTTTCCTTAAAAATATCACATAATGTTAAAGTCTTTATGCGTAACTTGCACATTTAAGTAAGAAAATGAAGTGTTTTCATTTCTACCATGATAGAATAAAGTTGAATTAACTATTACATAAACATATGAAGTATAATAAAAAAATAAGTCTTTTTATCTCTTAAACTCAAAATATAGCTTTAAACTAATACGAAGTATTTCATTTCATATTCTACAATATTCATTTATATATGCTTAACTAAATTTCTTCATATTCTTCCACAATTCCACCCTCATTTTTTTTTTTTTCGCAGCATTCACCTCAAAAGTCATGTAACAAGAAATTCGTAGTTTTAACTATTGAAAAACATTCATTTATGTAAAAATAACATAAGTTATAAGTTTATAACCCGTGCATTGAACGGGCAAAAATGCTAGTTTATATGACATTGCTTATTTAGTCACCTAACAGAATCTGCACATGTGATGACAAGCTACAAAGTTTGGATTTGACTTGCAGAATTTTTGTTGCAAAGATGAGAACAATACACCCTTTTTGTTTTTGGATACTGCTGTGAAATCTTCTGGGCAGCGATAAGTTGGTAACTGTTGTTATCTTGACATCCTATTGACAAACAGGGCCGGCTAAAGGCTGTGCAACCAGACCCTTAGCACAGGGCCCCAAATTGTTGAGGGCCCATTAATAAATGGAGCCCAACCCTAAGTTAAAAAAAAAAAAATAGCTGCTCTTTCTGCTCAAGCGTGAATTAGAGAAGTGAGTAACTTTGTATCTTCCATTCTTCTTCCCCATTTCAATTACTCCCACAAATCAAGCACCTAGATTACCTCGTAAATGCTCTCAATTTGCTTAAAAATTCTAAAATCTTCCTTCTTTAGTCATTAAATTTCTTGTTTTACCCCAAATCTTCATCTTTCCAAATAAACTTCTTGCCTTCCTCTATCAATCATGATAATTATGAAAAAGATTTTTTCAATTCATAAATTACTTCTATGGAGGAATTAATTATTTATTTTCCACAAATAATTTTGAGGATTAATTATTTATATGTATAGAATTTTAAATTTTCTCGGAAATTTTTTTAAGCAAATTTTCTAGGAGTTATTTAGCATTTTAGCTTTATTGCTAATATGTAATTTTTAAAGTTGGAAATTAAGAAAATTATTGTCATGGGTACTCTCCTGAGACGGTGAGCTGCAGCAATTGCAGTTGTGGTAACCTTTTACTAACTTGTTTTTATCCTCCTTTCACTTTCAATTACGAAGTATTAGACTAATTGTTGAATACAGTTTTTTTGGGTGCATTGTTTCTTTAATTATTAAATACTAATGTAGTTTTATTTTTAATTATGTCTGCCAAATATTTTTTTGAGAAGGTGTTATATGAAGACTTGTTGATGAATTTGCTACAAAAATCGCTAGAAATGTTTTTTTTTTTTTTTTTTTTTTTTTCTTTTTTTAACTTGAAGTTGTAGTGGGATATGATTTACTATTTAAATTAATTAGTTTGAGAGAGGGAAAAAAAAAGAATCGGATTGAAAAGTGTTTTTGTTCTTGTATTTAACTTTTTTTTTTTAATAGGGCCTAATTTCTAAGTTTTGAAGAGGGCCCCTAATATGGTTAAGACGGCCCTGTTGACAAAGGTAACAATATATTGCCCGAAACAGGAAAAGAAAGGGGAAAAATAGAGGGAAAAGCAAGAGAATTGAACAATTGTTTACTAAGGGACTGGAATAAATATATCTAAGATTCTAAGAATAAGTTGTTGGAAGTTCTTGAAGTAAAACCAAGAAAGTTACAGTGTTTATTCTTTTGACTGTTGGGATTTAATGGCTATTGGAATCCCTTAATTTTAGCTTCCTCTTATTGCTAATTTAATGGGCATTATTGCTGATTAATGTTGTTACTTAAAGACTAGTCGTTACCCTTTTAATGTTGATTAAAGCTAGCTCTTATTGAGGATTAATGGGTGGATGTTACACCACTTGATTGATGACCATTTTCCCCTTAATTGCTGGTTGTTTTTACTCCCTCCATTGCCTTATAAATCAACCTTATTCACCTCCGAAAGATATGACAACAAAAACCATCCATCTTTAACTTCTTACCTTCTCTTAAAATATATCCCTTCGGTTTTTGGGCAAGTATTCTGAATTCCAGTCGGGTTTGTGAGTACACACAATTTCCGGTGCCGTGCTTATCCTGGAGGGCGACCGCTTGATGTCTACTGCACCGGGGTAGCGCGGAATCGTCTTTTAAGTCAGTGGTTTACCACGACGCGGCTGTTGTCAATTGGTCTACACAACATTGAGATAAGTACTTTCGTTTAATTTGTTTATCTACTAACATAAGTTTATGCCTCGTTTATTTCAACAGGCACACTTCTGAGTATTGGTCTTGTACCAAAGAATAAGTTTGAAGTGAAGGTGTAGATTTGACTAAGTGCATCAAAATGGGCTGTTTGCAGTCTTTGCACTTTGCATAAGTTGAATTTTTTGCACGGCCTATACCTAACCTAAAATATTATAAAACAATGTATGTAAAGGAAACATAGAACATAATTCAAATAAAGTCAAAATGAAGATCATATTTGTTTAGCCAACACTTGTGTTAAATAGATTTTAATCAATAAAAAAGTAATTTAACCTTAATTCAGTTAAACAGGTTAGTCAATAAAATAAGTTTTATTAGTATAAAATATTAACCATTGATTTAATACAAAAAGGTTTAATTTTAATCCATAAAAATAATTAAAGTAATGCTTAAGGTCACTAAAAGTTAATGCTATGATCAAATATAATAATAAGAGCATCCACAATAGTTGCATAAAAGGACCTGCTTGCATTTTCTAAGAGCACTCAAATCAGTGAGCAAAAAAAAAAATTTGCTTATTCTCTCTCTAGCCACTTTCTCTCTCTTCCCACCTTAATTTGTTTATGAACATATTTTATTCCACTAGTGATAAAAAAAAATGCTCATCATTCTCTCTCCTACTTTTTTACATACCCCACCAACATTTCTTTCTCTTACACATCACCATATTATTATTAATTATGTTTTGGTTAATGAATTTTTAGTGCTACTAATTATAATTAATGACGTCAGTTTTGATGATGAGTAGGGCCCACGCTTTTACTGTTCATTGTTAATTTTGCTCATCCTATGAGCATTTTCTAAGTTGCTCATGACTCATGAGCATTTTCCACTTTGCTCATTGATATAGTAACATTTTACCCATTTTTGCTCATCAATTTTGCTCATGAGTAAAAAAAATGCTCACTGATGTGAGTGCTTTAAATAATGTAGAGCCACATGCTACTGATGCTAGCCACTGTGGAGCTACATAGGTTGTAGTTAAGTCAAAGCTATGTAGTTTCACTCCACCCAACACACATATATTAATTTGTTTAATATTTTTTATTTATTTGTTTATTTGTTTGTTTGTTTATTTGTTTATTATTTTATTTTTTTATGATTTATTTATTACAAAAGGATGTAGTTTATTATTGTAGAGGTTGTAGCTTTAATCATGTAGCTTAAGGATTAATAATGTGGCAACCCAAAGCTACATGTACATAAAGCTCACCATTGAGGATGCTCTAAGTCTAAGGTATCAATTAAAATAAGTTTTAATACGTAAAAATAATTTCAATACTTTTTAATTCATTATAAGTAATTTTAGCTCAACAAAAATTAGGTGAATACAACATGAGTTTAGTCAATTGAATAGATAATCCCAATTAAATACTTGACAAGAAAGCTATAAATTAAAGAGTACAATGCCTACAAAAATACAAGTAGTTGTTTAAAGGTATTTTTAGAGGGTCACATCTTTTTATTTGAAGCTTTGTTTAGGACAAGTAATATCTCTTTATAATTCACATTGAGTTATGTTATGAGTCAATAGGTGCTGCATTGTATGGAATTTCATAGAATTCAATGGTGTCAATTTTGCTTAGTTCATACATTGTTTATTCAAAGACAAATCGATCATGTGTTCCATACCAAAGAGTTTGAACCAATTAATCTATGTATTAACATTAAAACCCACAATATGGATTCAACCAGTAATTAATTGGTAAAATTTGCAAAGACAAGTCTGTCTTATTCAATGTTAGGTGTGGTGTAAGTAGACACATTGCCAAGCGTGGGTTTGCCTTCATCATGATCTTTCAATAACAAATTATCCAAATTCTACCTTGGGTTTGTTGGTTTGAACTTGCACAAAAATGTTTGGGTTATTCAAGATATCTTGAACCATTAAAAGTAGAACTCTAATTAATAATTAAGAATTTTCCTTACCATTCAACAACTTAATAACAAGTATTAAACCATTTTCGCTTTCAAAGTTATGAGAAAAGCACATTTCACACGTATTAATTAGGTTTAACGTCTTTGTTAGGTATTTAATCGCGTAATTTAGTTCATATTAAGTAATAATTAGCCTTCCTATTCCTAATATGCATGTAACCTAAACGCAACTATGTGTGCATGCATGCTACCCTATCCTAATCTAAATCAATCACATCCTCATATATTATTGGACTAACCTCTAATTAAAACACGTTGAGTCAGTTCAACCCGTTTATTATTTTCATTAAATTCTATAACCTTTAAATTGATCTTTCCTTTCCATTGATTGACAAAGCAAACAATTTGTACTATTTGCACTTGCATAAACTTTGCATAATACAAGACATACATTAGAATACTTGGGCCACACTCTTAACAACTATTTTTTGGAATTTTTGTGCCTTTTTGATGATAAACTAGCAAGATAAATGGTTGGACATGTTTAGCCTTATGATATGTTACAACTCACTAGTTTTAAGATATTTACCTAATTTTACCACCCCAAATTCTGTAGAATTGTTGAAGCTTCTACTTGTTTATGTCAATAGTCTAAGGTTTGTAGCTAGCTAGGTTTTATGTAAAAGTGAGAAAAATAACATCCTTCTATGGTTTGGAATAATGAGTAAATTACTTGCTCAACTAGGGAATTGAAGTCATACTATTCTTTGCAAACAAATCTACTGTGAGGTATATGACCTTTTTCATATATATATTGGTGGAGTAATGAGTATATAATGGTAGGTTGAAGTAATCTAGCATATAATGGTAGGTTGAAGTAATCTAGCATAAACAACTAATGCTTAGATGTTTTTTTATCTTAGGGGATGGGAGAAATACTCCTTGTACTGTGAATTTATAGTTGAATCCACTTATTCTGATGGGTTAACATAATTTTTGTAATTTAATGAAGTTTGACGAAGTGTGCATGGTGCTCCCTTTCGATGATTTATTTCTTTTAGAATATACGAGTACAACTACAAGAATATATATTTTTGTCAAAATAAAGTCTCGCCACATATAACTAAAATGAAATTGTATCCTAAAATCAATGACATATACGAAGTATGGCTTTAGATGTTGAGGTCCTCTAGACTTAAATGTTAGTTATTAGTTAATGTTCCTCTTCATCAATCTGGGACACTTTATATACAAACAGTGGCGGACTTGGGCTTAGACCTGGTGGGTCAAGTGACTCACCAGGCCCAAATTTAAGTTATTAAAAAAAAAAAAAAAAAAAAAAACTAAAATCAGTTTTCCCAAATGACCAAATCACGAATTGATTTCAAGCCCTAGCCTTCTTCAGTTCTTCTCTTCGCCAATTCGCCTCTTCCCTTTAATCCTTCATCAATCATCTCCAACTCCAATTCGCCTCTTCGCTAGTTCGCTTCGTCTTCCTCTTCGCATAATTTCAGGTTAGTAGATGCATCTTTCGGCTTTTTATTTATTTATTTATTTATTTAATTGTTGATATTACTTGTTAGTTATGAATTAGTAATACTAAATTTGAACCCTAAATCCCTAATTGTTCAATAATCAACTCAATTTCAGAGAATTTTGCATTATATGAAATTCTGAATTGTGAATTTGTGAAATGTTTGACACTTTGACAGTGCTCTTCGCGACTTCGCTAGCTTGCTCACGCCTCCAGTGCTGGCTGTGCTGCTGGCCTGCTGGCTGCTGCTCGCCTGCTGCCCTGCTCCACTGCTCTGTGCTCTGTCCTCTGTGCTCACCGCTCTTCGCTTCGTCGCTTCTTCTAAAGTCTAATCTCCTATTTTCATTTTGCTAGTAAGTTGATTTCTAATTTTTAGTTTAAAATTCTAATCTTCAATTTAATTCAGTCTAATTAGTTAATTCTATTAAACTTTGGTTGATTTTGTTGTTGTTTGTTTGGTAATCTTTGAACCTTTTGTTAATGTTGTTGGGTTTTTGTCTTTTTGATGAAATTTGAACCTTTTTGACCATGTGATTATGTGAATTGTGGTTTGTTTGGTAAAATGATCTTTGTAAATAATTTTTATGGGGAATTTTGCTTGATTTAGTTGATTATTTATTCAAATTTTAGAATGAAGAGAAAACGCACTCCAAATGAAATGCAAAACATTACTAGCTTCTTTGCTAAAAAGAATCCTACTTCAACTTCTCTTCCACATCCAACACAAAATGAACAAACTATATCTCCACCTCAACAAAGTGAACAAACTATATCTCCACCTCAAGAAAGTGAACAACATTCATCTCCATCTAATTATTCAACTCAAAATTCCCCTCAAAATGAACAAGGCCAATGTTCTCCTAATGCCCCAATCTTTGGTGAAAGATTAAGTGAACATGAATTTGCTAATCTTCCACAAGATCCAGGAAAGAGGAGAAAGATGAGTCAATTTCATAAAGATGATAGAGATTTACTATTTAGTTGTCTTTTGTAGTATTATATGAACATTTGGTTGTATTTTGTACTGTTTGAATATTTGGATGTATTTTTTAGTACTATTATTTGGTTGTTCGATAAATTTTTTTTTTACATACTTGATTATCGATTTTGACCCACCAGTCGGAAATTCCTGGGTCCGCCACTGTATACAAACTGAAGTACGGTTTTTTTTTGAGGGAAATTGAAGTATGAGTTTTGCTAAGTGTAATACCATAATAGGAATTAAAAAGAAACAAAACACTAATGACAATTTTAGAGCTAGCTTTACACGCAACAGATAAGGAATAATAAATAACTTGTTAGCACAATTGACGTCGAAGTAAGAGCTAGTTAATGAATCCAAGCAACACTAACACCATAACTAGATGCAACATTCATGGGTTTTTAGTATAGTACTATTACTCAAACAAAAAGATTAATTACCCTTTTCTACTCATAATTTATCGAGTAAAAAGTTTGATAATAATATAGAATTTCTGTATGTTGTATGTTATATATTGAATAAAATAAACATCTGTCCGATGAGATTCTACCAAGATCTCCACCCCACCCCTATTTCCAAAAATAGAAAGATAAGGACATATTTTATCTTTATAACTTCTTAATGAAATAAAGGAAATTTGTTGGCATGCTTACATCTTACTAGCTTAGCATTAAGATCAAATTTATGGTCATATTGTGAATCATAATTTGGACTTATCATTAAGTGTGAAAATTATGACATTAGGAACTAATATGAAATTTTCTAAACTGAAGTTGATCGAACATGTAGTTAAATATAGACACTAAATTTTAATATAGATTGGATATAAATGACATTGATCAATATTAAAAGTAGTTTTTGAGTAGCTTTTAGTGGTTCGACAATTGTATCAAATTTTTCATTGCAGTCGTCCTTTATGGTTTACATTTGGAACTTGATTGTTAATCCCATCTTCTGCTCTGATCTTCCATCGGGAAGTTATTGTTACATTATGTCATTATCTAAAATGTTCATAATATATAAATAAAATATGACATGAGACTATGAGTTTACATTAGTCGTGCCATCTAAATAATTGAATTCTTTACGTAATTTCATACTGTGTATAAGAAAATTCAATCATAAACACGACATTTTTTTTAACACAAAGAAAAGACTGATTATATTATTAGGCTAAAGCCATAGTATTTACACTAGTTAAATTCCCGTGCAATGTACGGATTTTACTAAATTATCCTTACCTTATAAAAAGTACTCGTAGAAGATAACTCTTAGGAATAGTGTGCTACCAAGTATACCCTCAAAATTGTGTACAAAATGTGTATTTACTTTTTTACCCTCATTAATATGTTTACTGTCATTAATGTATTTAATTTTTTTTTTCATTAAACATATATGATATATCATCAATTAATTCAGTTTTTTTTTAAAACAAAAAACATGTAATGCATTTTTTTAATAAAAAAATTCTAATGTTTTACATTTCATATGATATAATAATTATTTAAAAAGAAAAAAAAATTATATGCACAAAGAGACAGTTTATTATCAAGAGACTGTTTATTTTTACTCTTTTGTAGTTGCTCTTCTTATTTACTATCTTGTTGTCCTTTAATTACAATTATTGTTAAGGTTTATTAGCTTTTAAAATGTACATGTTAACAACGTTATAGAATTTGAATGATATTTATATTAAATATACAATGATATTTGAGCAGACGTATGTTATAAAGAGGTATAAACAACTTAAAAATCCTAAAATCAAGGGAAATCAATGGTAGGAAAAACATAGCTGGTATTAATTTTGAGAGAATTTAAGAGGAAAAATATACATTATTAAGTTTTTAGCTACAACATTTTACATATTATTACTCCATAGTCCAAATGACCACAACTCACAAAAAAATTCATTTGAAGAAAAACACGTTAGAAATATTACATATAGTATTATTGAAATATGCACATCAATTAAGAGTTCTAAACTAACACTTGGCGCTTAAAATATGAAGGGATGCAAATCAATTAAATATTACTTAATAATAATTTTGAAATAACACTATCATACTTTTTAGTGTTTTAAAAAATAATTGTCTTAAAAGATTTTGGTGGCTTTCACATACTATTCTACAAATTCACCACCTAAACACATAAACCAAATAGTGTACGTATTAAAATTACCAGGTCTACCACCCAAACCAACGGTATAAATACACGCCAATACAAATTTTTTGCAAGAGCTAGTCCCTCCGCGAGCATCGCGCGCGAAGGACACCCTAGTATAGTGATTAGTGAAGTACAACATTAATTCTGGTGCAATAGATGCATGATTGTTTAATACGAAGTGATTATAATACAACAAAATTATAAAACGACATTAAAAAAATAAGGACTCGACACCAGTTATTAGAGAGTATGAAATATATTATTGAAAATAACCACATAAAATAGTTATAATAAACAATATAATATTTGCTTTAAAAAAAACAATATAATTTTTTAGAAAGTTTAGATTAGATTTTATGTAAAGCAAAATCTCGTTATTTAGATACAATGATCATTCATTATAGTAAGATTTTTTTTTAAGTAAATACTTTTGGAGGGAAAATACTCTGTATAATGCTGCCAAGTGTCATTTTAGATTCACCTTTAGTAATATGTAATAGATTATGCAACACATAATTTATAAATTGAAAATTGATGCTGAACCAAAATATGCCTAAGTAATAGGCCAAAGCTAAATTATAAACATGACGCTTTACACTACAAGTAATGTGACTTTTTTTTTCTTCCTTCATTCTTAAAACAATACTACTCCATCCATCCTACTATATGGTTATATATTTTAAAATTGATCTTTGACAAATACATTTATTAATATTATTTCATCCATTTTATTAACATTGTACCAACTTGCTCCTTTCGAACTTTAACAAATATTACACCGTATCTACTTTAGGAAAACAAATATATTTGTTCACACTACAAATACTTAATATACCCTTATTTTTTAACAAATACTCGTATTTCTTTATTAGTTTAGGCTTATAATCATATGGGCAATTTTGTATTTTTTTTCCTTTATCTCTCTTCCTTTTTTCTCATCACCACAAAAAAATTGCACTCTTCCCTTATGGTCATATGTTGCATTATGGGAGAGATTGTTATATATACTCATGTGTACGGTGTACAAGTTTATTTTTTTTTTTTATTGGTATAATTATTATTATTGCAGGAAAAAAATATATAATTACATTAAATTGCACCGGTTAACCGGTGCCAATTATATTTAATATAAAAAAACCCCGGGAATAATATTGGCACCGGTTAATTGGTACCAAAAATAAATATGAGCACCGGTTAACCGGTGCCAATTTAAGATATTGCCACCGGTTTTGAACCGGTGGCCTTTTTTTTTTTTTTATGAAATAGCATCTCTCAAATGTTTAAGGTTCAAAATTGGTGCCATAGAGGGTTTTGAACCGGTGTTATTTTACATTTTTCTACTAGTGTTTGTTTGTTTCTTCATTTGATGATAAAATGAGCAATAATCATCTAAATGAGCAAAAAGTACTCTTTGGTGCACCGTGCACCCGGGTGTATAAAACAATTTCTAGCATTATGGCTTGTCAAAAAGAAAAATATGTTGCATTATGAAAAGAAAAGAGTAGTCATATAAGGTATTGTTAGATCAATCTCATTGTGTTGTTATATAATATCAACTATTTTTCATATAGTTTTTGGCAATACATAATTAAAGATTGATGATCAAAATTATGCTTTGAAGACCGTACAAATTAAACAGACATTATATTGTGAGACAGTACAGGAATTACAAGGGAATTCAAACGAAGATTTTTTTTTATTTAAATTCTGTTATATATATGGATATTGGTGGACCTTGAAACGTAATTTATGGTAGGGAGAAGTTACATGTAATTTATTTATAACAAATAATTAACCTATTCTACGATGAAAGTGAGTGTGACAGGCAAATGGTGCATTAATGGAATTAGGTCTTGGCATTGAAGTTCTGTGTAAAATATCAGCATCATTTGATAGTTGTATCGGGGCTACATTCGTACTATTGCATTATTTTGGGTGGTCCCAATTTTAAAATCAGGTTTCCTTTTGAATTACTATGTACTTTCTATTGCATTTGTTTTCTTGAGTAAATTAACGTAACATTCTTTCTCTACATGAAAGTCCATGTTCTTCTTCCTTAGATTCTTTCTTGTTTATGACTAAAGAACCTATTTTTAAGCAACATTAATTGGGAAAAAAAAAATCGTAGAAGAAAAATTAGTGTAAAAGTACCTTTATTCTTCAAAAGAAGTCAAACAATTTTACCCTTTTCGTGTTCCATTGCAATGCAAATTCTTTTGGTGTTGGTTAACAAATTGTAGCCAACTTAAAGAAGCAAACTAAGTTGTAGACAACATGTAAAAGTTTAGTTAAATGTGTGCACATTCTAATTTATTTTCCTGAAAAAGATCAATGGCAATGATATTGTAGATATCAGCATCAATTATTCATTGTTTTTATGTACATAATCCGAATTTACACAGTTTATCATCCTTGCGGTAGTAGTGGACAATCCTATAATTAAAAGGAGAGTTTGATTCACTTATTTGATTAATAAAAAGTGATTAAAAATACATTATGATAAGTGAAATTTTTATGATAAGAATTTTTTAAAGGAAAAATGGAATCTAAAAATCCAACCTTTGGCCGGTCTGACAATAAAAATCCAACCTTCCATTAATCTCACAAAAATCCAACCTTTGCCCCCCGTCTTCTTTGACAGGTCCATTTGACCTTGAACCTGTTAAACAGGTTAAATTCTTTTTTTTCCTTTTTTTTTCTTTCTCCTTCCTCCTTCCTTTCTCTTTCCTCCCCCTCCATATTTTCCGGTCACCAACCCAAAACCACCCAACCTGGCCAACCACGATCACCCAACCACGACCACCCAGAACCCACACCCTAACCCCTCCCCCCCAAAATTCGAGCCACCCTAACCCTTCTCCCATGAAAATCGACCACCCTAACCCCCTCTCCCATGAAAACCGACCACCCTAACCCCCTCCCCTTCAAAATCCGACCACCCTAATCCCCTCCCCTTCAAAATCCGACCACCCTAACCCCCTCCCCTTCAAAAACCGACCACCCTAACCCCTCCCCCATGAAAACTTACCACCCTAACCCCCTCTCCCATGAAAACCGACCATCCTAACCCCCTCCCCTTCAAAATCCGACCACCCTAACCCCCTCCCCTTCAAAAACCGACCACCCTAACCCCCTCG